AACAGGCTAGTGAAAAAAATCAGTTGACCTATTCTGTAAATGTAGTAGTTATCTTTTATACTAAATTCAAAACATGGTTAGATTGAACTAAAAAATTATTAGCAAAATGGTGACACTAAATTCCTTAAGAACAGGTGAGTGTTTAAGTATATATTAAAGTACTCACATACATTTTCCATTTGAAAAAAATCTTTAAAAATTTTGGTCACTGTACAAATGTATTTTCTATCTCTGCTATCAAAATGGAATATTAGAAAACAAGTCATCAATGCTTATTCAGAAAACTCTGTTAATTCAGACACCGAAGTAAGCTGAAACAGAAAGCAGCACGATTTATTTTCCAGCGCTACAAAGGAAAGGTGGCCCTGAGGCACCACGGAACAGTCATGCATATCTGAGTCCTCAGAGCATTTATGGTAGTGTTCCAGTATTAAGGGCGTTTAATAAAAACGGAAACTCCGAAAAATTGTACAGAGATGTAGTATCTTAATAACAACACTTAACCATAGTGATTCAAGACATAGAGGGAAAAGCCCTACAATTTAAACAAGAGTATTCCCAGTTCTTAAGGAAGCTGGCAGAGTGAACTGAAAGACCAAAATAAGGGCCTCCAAAATGAATTTATCAAGTCTTAGTTTGTGATAATTTGTATGCCAGGCTTCAGAAAAAAGTATAAAGAAAAAGGTGACTTAAATAACTCTAAAATAGAGTGGGGCTTAGTTCTCACTCTGTCTGGAGGTATCTGACATTTTAAAACACAGTATGTAACCAGTTCTATTTCCTTAGACACACAAAGAAGAAAAATCAAAGTCCTAGCACTTGATATCTGCTGTGTGGATGGGGTTCTTGTGGGTTTTACAGTTCTGTTTATGTAGCCAAGAAGCTCTCATTAGGAGATTTAGGATTCCCAATATATAGTCAATGAAGAGAGAGAAAGAGAAAAAGGGAGATTTTCGTCCATGAAAAGAAAAGGTTTTGGCTTGAGGCTGACTTTTTGAAACTTTTTTAACTCTTCATTTTTTCACATTTTAAGTTAATTAAAATATATTCCATTTTAATACTAGCCAGGTAGAAAATTGTCACCCACCCTAACTGATATCACAATTCCAGGATAAATGCCTTTGTATAGTTGTTGCCTCATAATGAAATTCCACTTTCTTGGTCCTTCCTTCTGGACTATAAAACAAAGTTCTAAAGTTAAATTTAAATCTGTTGGCACTTAGGGTTGCCTATTCAATGTATGGCAGAGAATGTTTTAGAGAGTAACATTCAAACCCCCATTTCCATACTGTGAAAATCCAAAGAATGCATTTCTAAATTGATGTTTTCAAGTCAGGAGAGAAAACTAAGTGGCAAGATGAAATGATATTGTTAGTGATGGTCCATAAGATACACTCTCGCATTTAATTAGTTCAGGTAAGACTACTATTAATTACTAGTAAATGCAGGTCACAAGCCTTTCCTAGACTAGAAAGAAAGACAGGGAAGCTATTCCTTTCTGTTCATGTCCCTGAGAGCAAGTATTTTGCTTTTTGAATTCTAGGTATTCCAAACATTATATATAAAGAAACACTCAAAACTTAATTCTTTCAAAAAGGTCACATTTGCTTCCTGTTTAAACTTTTAGTTATAATAAAAGGTAGTAGGTTGTAACACATTTTAACAATGCACACAAAAAAATCCAAGCACAAAATTAAACATAAAAGATGTATTGTCCTTTTTGGTTCTTAATACATCTGCCCCCCAAATAGCAAACTCCTGGTTACTTTTTAAAGTAAGTAGATTAAAAACAAGATTAACAAAATGTCCAAAACATGTCAAATTGTAGCCTCTACTAGTTAAAAATTCTGTTGGTTGTAAAACTCTGTTGGTGGCCATTTTGGCCTCAGATTTTTAATATAAATGAGACTAGAAATGACAGGGGATGGGGGAAGGGACTTTCCTTCTTGAATAGTCAAAGAGGGAAATTTTAAAATCTAGAATGAGTTATCTGAAAGATGAAAAAGAATATTCAAAGTTAGGCTTTACCAAAATCTGAAAATATTACAGAAATTAAAACACAAGAACAGTGCTATATTATTGAAGATTTAAAAAACTTTACAAACATTTTTTGAAGGAGGTAAATACATAAACTATTCAGAAAAATTATTTAACTGCTAAATAAAAATCATATATTGTACTTTTTCCCATGCAGATCTACAAATTGATAATCTAAAGTCATTAAATTATGATATAATTTTATAGCCACTAAATAAATATATAAAGAAAAATGACATGGCCAAATATTTGTCATAATATGGATATATATACATAAATATATGTAGTGTCAGAGTTTTATTAGGATGCACCCTTTAGGATGATGGTCTTTTTCTTTTTTCTTTATTAATATAGTGAGTCTAGTCAAGTCTGGTTAATAAGCTATTATTCAGACATAAGTTGTAAACGAGACTTTATTTGACCTCTCATGAAATTACTGGAAATAGTGAATATTTCTTTAATTTTCTTATTTCACAATGTGTTTTAAGGAATTTCTGATGTGATTTCACAGGCTTATTTAAACCAGTCAACTCTACCATCTTTCCTGTGTTTGAGATTTAAAACTGTTTAACCTACACATTTTTTTTTTTTTTAAAGAAAGTGATTCCTGGATAGATCTTAAATTGTAGTAGTTAAACTTTAGGTTTGTAAATGTCCTTCTATCCTCACTGATTGGCAGTCAGATAAATGCAATCAAAAACTTCTCAAATGTAAACATTTCTAAACTAGATATACAAATCCACTTCTTCCTTCAAAAGAGAAAGCATCATTCATTCTGAATAAGAAATGGGCATGTTTTGGTTAGAAAAATAAATTAATTAATGATTATGTGTAGAAATATCCAATTTTAAGAAGATTAGTTTAAATGACTATATAATAGCAGTTCTAACCTGGGCTTCATTAGTTGGTCACTGCCCTGATTGATGCCACATTCATGTGTGAGGGCTACTATGAGTCAATAGATGGCAGTCCATCGCCTAGTAAAAGAGTTGAAGATGACTAAACTCATCATGCATCTTGCTTTTTATTCAAGATTAAATATTGCTTAATTGCACACATTAGGATATTGCCTATATGCATAATTATTTTAGCTATTTTATTTTAGCTGGATTGATGTATGTGATTATAAATATACTTGTTTTGCATTTATACTTGCACAGGAAACTAACACTTAATTACTTATTAATTGAAATTTGATAATTAAGAATTGTGAGTTATTTCAATATTATTTTGAAAAATTAATCATGATTCCAGATTTAAGACAAAGTTTTCAAAATGATTTTGTTAAACCTACAGATAGAATATACTGTGATTTTTCCAAAGGCAAATTCATTTTGTTTTTACTTTTTTCTAACTATTCCTTTTACAATTTATGTTTCTCAAAAGCTACAATGTTAAATAAACCTTAAAATATCTGTTATACCAAACACTGTTTTCTATCCTTCTATGATAGTTATGTAAAAAAAAACTACAGGTGCAAATAATGAAAAGAATAGTTTTAAAACAGTATTTCCTACACTTCAAATTTTCAAGACTGGAATTCCCTAACTTACAGGAAAATAGAAAATTAATGCAATTATACATTAGGCTATTACTTAATAAAAATGCTGATGAAAAACTTGCTATACAGTTCCAAAGAGTGAAAAGCATAATACATGACTCGATTCCAATTAAGTTTAGGTTAAGAATTTCACCATAATGTGTTAGGATAAAAAAAACTGCTACCTATACACAAACATAATGTATATATATGCATTATATCTGTAACATATATGTGGAATGTGTGTATGTGTGTGTGTGCCTGTGCTCACTCACATGTGTGTGTATTTATTTATTTTTGAGCAGGGGATAACACTAAAGAATTTTAACAAAACCCAATTTGGGAATGACGATAGTAGAGCAATTACAGCTTTCTACCAAGAATCTTTGAACAAAGTAAACAGTGATAACGGAGTGTGAACACAAACCACCTGATGACTTCTGGGGCCTGTAACAGGCACACGGAGAGTCTAGTCGACTCATTGGTTTGTTTTTACTTTCTAAGAGGAGAGCAGAAAGAAGACATGCTTTGTAAAAACTGTGCCGTTCCTATTTTACTATGTCCTCCTACAAACAAAAAACTTTTCTTATAAGTTAAACTTGAAAGAACTGCTTTTAAATATACTGCATAACTGTATAAGTACAAGAGTAATTTTTATTGTTGTCTCTTGCTCAGCACAACATATTTAATATATTAAAAGAAATGACTAGCGGGTCCATGGTGAATTACTGAAATTATTTAAGCTAAATATTAAAAATAAACTGACTTCATAACACTGAGTCTTAGTCAATTTGATTCCACAGCAGAATGTGTTTTCTGCTTCTACTTGGCCTAAAATCATAGTAAAAGGAAACGAAAGAATTAAATAACTTGAATGGTAAGAAGAAGATATCTGTGCATTTTGAATAAGTCAAGAAGGGCTTCAGGATATGACAGCTGAATTGTTCCATGTGAAAGATGCACTAAGTTTCTTCTAGCTTCACTAAGACATGCGTGTAAAGCTTTCAGGAAAGCCAGAGAAATTATAACGGAACACAGTGTGGATAGTGTGCTTGTGGGCTGTAGATATGCAATGCTTTAAAGACACTGGACTGCTGGAATACTACTGCTCTCTCTTGCTCCTATCATACTTTTCCCCATTTAATGAATGTCATCTAGGAAAACTGAGAAATACCATGATGTAATCATTAGATGATGTGAGTAAGAAAAAACAGTCAAAATCTTTCAAGAACTGGAAGATAAAGGACAGAGTGGTGGGCAGGGGAGAAGAGAAAAAGTATATTATTGCTTTCTCAGTGCAAAAATGCTTCAGATGTTTATTATCTTCCAGTAGAAGATGCTTGTCTATATTTTATGGTCAGCAGTTCAGAGAAGGGTAAATAGGCTAGGTCTTGGGGAAAATAAAAAAGGTGTTTCTACTCACTGTTAGGTGATACTGCCTCCAGATTTCTGGGCAAGC